TATTTATTTAATATAATATAAAATTAGAAATTTATAATATTATATAATATTATAATTATATTATTACAGTTTTCGTTATAATATACCCAAAAAGATCAATCCTGATTTCCGCAGAATCTTTGCTCAAGTTTCAAGTTCCCACGCGTTCACTCTTATTGGGCTCTCTTCTGTATAATCTTCTCCATTTCTCTTCCCAACTTTGCCTAATTAATTAATTTCAGGAAATCATGGCAATCCGCGTCAGTTGAAGAATCATCCCCTAACGCGTTAAAAAGATCAGAACAGCAGTGACCATGACACCAGTGCCCTAGCTGTTCTATTTTATTCCTGAGGACTGCTGTGTTAGGACTTTGTTAGTGACAGCTAAAACTCCCAATGTTGTATGATTAATTAGTTTGGTATAACTAATAATTTGTTGAACTAAGTAGAAAGAGATCAATTATTCTTAAATAAAATTTAGGTTTGGTTCTTGTGAATGAAAATCAAATATTGGAAAAACTTTTTTTATTACATAGTTCAACGTGATTCGATTTTAAATTATTCAAGTTTAACGTGATTATCAAATACCGAATAATTAGTGCAAAAAAAAAAAAAATAGTTTGGTATATACTATATATGTATAGATAACACATTTAAGGGGGGTTTTTTTTGTGAAATTTTTATAGAGATAATATTTACTTGCTTTTAATTTTGTCAAATAAAAAATCTCATATTAAAAAAATATTTAAAAAATATGTAAATTAAATATAAAAAATATTACTTTACTTATTATCAATTAATTTTATATTAAATATAAGTCTTATATTAAAATTCACATATTAATTTTCACATAGAATCAACTTAGGCTGGTCTAACTGTGTGTCACGGCCACCACTGTCTTTGACCTTGTGCATCAGAAACAGTCTCCATACTTTTTTCTGGGTTTTTTTTTTTTAAGGTGGCATATGGTTTCAGGTGGCTGGACTGTGGTCCTATTTCCTTGTCTGAACCTTGGAGGGATTCTGGCGGGCAAATACAGCACAGCCTTCTCTCTCATCTCATGGATATGAGCTGACTCTCCAGAATGGGGTCTAACTGCAATCGTTGGCCATTTGGCCTTGTGCATCAAGTCAGTAGTATTCAGCATTATTAAAATCACTAATACTGTTTGTATTATTT